CTCTCCGTCCGACTGGTCGGTCCCTCGTTATCCCACTCGTCCCTTGATGTCCCGTAGGCATAGCCGTCCATGTTCCATACATAAATCACTCCGCCAATACTACCTAGCAGCAGCTGATAGGCGATTGACAGCTAAACAGCGGACAACGGGCGAAAGCACATGCGATCAGTTCACGAACAAGGTGCGCAGACAGATCCACCTCCACGGCCACGGCAGAATTGCGGGCCAGGAGTACGCGCGAGGCTCCCAATAGTCGCAGGCCGCTGCGGCCTGAGGAGCTTCCAATCCACAACTTCCGTCCAATAAAGGACAACCCCCAGGATTGGATCATTATACATTTGACAGTGCGCACTAACTGAAATGAAAGAACGGGTTGAGCAGGCAGCTAAGAGAAAAGTCGAGGTTGGTGAGTGAAACCTTCAAGTGGTGGTGACCTGGCATCTGCTGCTTGCCACAAGGCCATGGCAATCAAAAGCCCCCAATCTCGTCGAGCTGTGGGACGACCTTTTCACTACTCTTAGCCAGTCTCAGTCCCGTTGGTTAGTCAGTCTAGAAATTTTCTTTTCTTTTCTTTTTTAACCTTCCCCTCCATGGATGAACCACCCCATTTCTGCAAAAAAAAAAAAAAAGGCGATGTAAATCCATCGAATATCAAAAGTTCGAGCAACTCGTACTGCTGGAACTGAAATCAGAAAAAGGAGGTCACTGCGCCTTGCAAATGGGCACATAGATGCTGCCCCTGTGACTTATAGATATCGACCATGATCGGTATGGTTTGGCAATGGGAGCCAAGAACTTGCCACCTGGCAGCACATCTGTATGCCAAGTGGCACATAGATGCTATGCCGCGGTGTTGTATGATGAGCATGATGATGAGTTTCACTCTCTCGGACGAACCGCACTCGGAACGTCGTGATGACGTGGCAAGGTCTTCTCTCTCTCTCTCTCTCTCTCTCTCTCTCTCTCTCTCTCTCTCACACACACACACACACACACACACACACACACACACACACACACACACGTGTAGTCCACCCCGATCGCTTGGGATCCCGAGGACACCCCCTCCCCCCGACCGCAACTCCCTGCCCGTCCTTCCCCTATTCCTGTCCCTCGGTCCCAATGTTCTTCCCTCCCCCTCCTTGCACCATCCCAAATCCCGTTACATTCCGAATCTCTCCCTCTCCCCCCATACCCCATTTCCCCGATCACAGTTCTCTCCCTTCCTCTTCCCGTTCCCCTCCGAACCTCTCTCTCTTTTCCCACCCGTACGATCCCGACGGTACCCCATTTTCCCGATCCCAATTCTTTTCTTCCCATCCTCCCCCGATCTCGACTTTGCCCTCCGCCCCCCCCCAACCCCCTCGTCTCCCCCATCCCTATTCTTCTCCCCCCTCAAATCCCAACTTCCTCCGAACCTCCCCCTCCTCTCCCACCCTTGCGATCCCGATGCCGTTTCCTTTTTCTGATCCCGATTCTTTCCCTCCCTCCAACCCCGACTTCCCCCGTTAGTCCCGATCCCTCTCCCTCTTCCTCCTCCCTTTCTTCCCCACCCTTAAGATACCGACGCCAACCTCTTTCCCCGATCCCGATTCTCCCCCCCTCCTTGCCCGATCTCGACTTTGCCCTCCCGTCCCGCTTACCCCTTCCCCTTCCCGATCCCAATTCCTCTCCTCATCCCTTCCCAATCCCGATTTCCGTTCGCGATCAACCCCTTTCCCCGATTGCGATTCTCTCCCCCTCCTTGCCCGATCTCGACTTCGCCCTCCTCCCCTTCCCGATCCCAATTCCTCTCGACTCCCGACGCCGCCTCGTCCCCCCCGATACCGATTCCAACTCCCATCCCGAATTCCATTCGCGATCAACCCCTTTCCCCGATCCCGATTCTCTCCCCCTCCTTGCCCGCTTCCCCTCCCCGATCCCAATTCTTCCCGACTCCCAACGCCACCTCCTTTCCCCCGATACCGATTCCAACTCCCGATTTCGGTCTCTCTCCCCTCCTTCCCCGATCCCGATTCTTTCCCCCTTCTTGCCCGACCTCGACTTCGCCCCCCGTCCCGCCCACCCCTTCCCGCCCCCGCTCCCAATTAAAAAAAATTAAAAACACCCAAATCACCTTGATCTGCCATTTTCGTCGAAGACTGCCGCAACCCGCTCTCTCTCCAGCCGCCCTTCGTTCTCGAGCCACCCTCTTTCCCACCCTCTCTCCAGCCGCCCTTCGTCACGTTGGATACCTCCGTTTCCTATTCTCTCTCTCTCTCTCTCTCTCTCTCTCTCTCTCTCTCTCTCTCTCTCTCTCTCTCTCTCTCT